GTAGAAGGAAGAAAACAACCAAGATCAGAGCATAATTAAAGTACATAGAGACTAACACAACAATCCAAAGGATCAATAAATCCAGGAGCTTCATCTTTGAAAAGATAAACAAAATTGACAAGCCTTTGAACAGACTCACCAAGGAAAAAGAGGAGAGGACCCAAATAAACAAAATCAGAAATGAAAGAGAAGAGATTAAAACTGACACCACACAAGTGCAAAGCATTGTAAAGAATTACTGTGAAGAGCTATATGCCAAGGAATTTGAAAGCTTAGTTGAAATGGACAAACATCTAGAGAAATATAATCTCCCAAAATTCAATGAAGAAGCAGAAAACCTAAACACACCAGTAAGAGCTGATGGATTTGAAGCAGTAATTTAAAAACTCCTGACACACAAAAGCCATGGACCAGACAGTTTCACAGGAGAATTTAACAAAGGATTTAAGAAAGACCTAACTCCTAACCTTCTCAGACTATTCCAAAAAATAGAAGGAGAGGGAAGACTCTCAAATTCTTTTTATGAAGCCAGCATCATCCTAATCCCAAAACCAGATAAAGACATAAATAACAAAGAAAGAAAACTTTAGGCCAGTATTGCTGATGAACATAGACACTAAAATCCTCAACAAATTATTGGCAAACCACATCCAGCAACATGTTAAAGAGATCATACACCATGATCAAGTGGGATTCATCCCAGGGATGCAAGGATGGTACAATATTCGCAAATCAATAAACATAATACATCACATAAACAAAAGCAAAGACAAAAATCACATGATCATATCAATAGTTCTGGACAAAGCACTTGATAAGGTAAAGGACCTATTCACCATAAAAACAATTAGCAAAGTGGGAATAAGGGGAGCATTCCTCAATATAATAAAGGCCATATATGAGAGACCTACAGCCAGCATCATACTCAATGGGCAAAAACCTAGAGCTTTCCCACTGAGGTCAGGAACAAGAAAAGGATGCCTGCTTTCACCACTCCTATTCAACATAGTATTGGAAGACCTAGCCACAGCAATCAGACAAGAAAAGGAAATAAAAAGCACCCAAACTGGAAAAGAGGAAACAAAACTGGCATTTTTTTTTTGCAGATGATATTATAGCGTACATAGAAAATCCTATAGACTCGACCAAAAAACTGCTTGACCTAACTGATGAATTTGGCAAAACAGTGAGATACCAAGTCAATATCCAGAAATCAAAGGCATTTTTGTACACCAACAATGAAACAGCAGAAACAAAAATCAAGAAAAAAATCCCATTTGATATAGTAAAAAGAAAAAAAAATAAAATACCTAGGAATAAACCTAACCAAAGAGGTAAAAGAACTGTACTCAGAAAACTACATAACACTGAAGAAAGAAATCAAAGAAGACACAAACAAATGGAAACATATATCATGTTCATGGATTGGAAAAATTAACATCATCAAAATATCTATACTACCCAAAGCAATTTACACATTCAATGCAATACCTATTAAAGTACCAATGGCATATTTCACAGTCATAGAACAAACACTTCAAAAATTTATATGAAATCATAAGTGACACTGAATAGCTGCTGCAATTTTGAGAAAGAAGGGTAAAGTAAAGGGGATCACAATACCAGATACTAAACTGTATTACAAGGCCATTGTAATCAAAACAGCCTGGACTGGCATAAAAACAGGCACATGGACCAATGAAACAGAACAGAGAGCCCAGAAATAAACTAAAATCTCTATGGTCAATTAATATTTGATAAAGGGGGTAGCAACATAAAATGGAGTAAAAGTAGCCTCTTCAACAAATGGTGTTGGGAGAACTGGACAGCTATGTGCAAAAAAAAAAAAAAAATGAAACTCAAGCACCAACTTAGACTATACACAAAAATAAATTCCAGGTGGATAAAAGATTTAGATATAAATCGTGACACCATTAAAGTCCTAGAGGAGAACATAGGTAGGAAAATCTCAGATATTTCATGCAGAAACATCTTTACTGACATGTCTCCTAGGGCAAGGGACATAAAGGGAAGAATAGAGAAATGGGATTAACATTAAAAAGCTTCTGCACAGCTAAAGAAAACAGCATTAAAATAAATAGAGAACTAACTATATAGGAAAACAATTTTGCCAATGATACCTTGGACAAGGATTTGATCTCCAAAATATTTAAGGAACTCACATGACTCTACTCCAGGAAGACAAACAACCCAATTAAAAAACTCTGCACAGCTAAAGAAAACACCATTAAAATGAATAGAGAACTAACTATATAGGAAAACAATTTTGCCAATGATACCTTGGACAAGGATTTGATCTCCAAAATATTTAAAGAACTCACATGACTCTACTCCAGGAAGACAAACAACCCAATTAAAAAAAATGGGCAAAAGTCTTGAACAGACACTTCTCCAAAGAGGAAACAGAGGGCCCAGAAGCATATGAAAAGGTGTTCAGCATCACTAGCCATCAGAGAGTGCAAATTAAAACCACAATGAGATACCACTTCACACCGGTCCTAGTGGCCATCATAAACAAATCAACAAACAAGTGTTGGAGAGGATGTAGAGAAAAGGGAACCCTATTGCACTGTTGGTGGGCATCAGACTGGTGCAGCCACTGTGCAAAACAGTATGGAATTTCATCAGGAAACTGAAAATGGATCTGCCTTTGACCCGGCAATTCCACTGCTGGGATTATATCCTAAGAGCCCTGAAATATCATTCCACAAGAACCTATGCATCCCAATGTTCATAGCAGCACAATTTACACTAGCCAAGTGCTGGAAGCAACCTAAGTGCCCATCAGTAAATGCATGGATCAAAAACTATGGTATATTTACACAATGTAATACTACACAGAAGAAAGAGAGAAGGAGCTTCTACCCTTTGTAACAGTATGGATGGAACTGGAGAGCATTATGCTAAATGAAATAAGCCAGGTGGTGAAAGACAAATACCATATGATCTCACCTTTAACAGGAACCTCATCAACAAAACAAAGCAAGCAATATATAACCAGAGACATTGAGATTAAGAACAAATGGACAGTAACCAGATGGGAGGTGGGAGAGGATAGTGGGGTGGGGAAAGGGTGAAAGGTTTACATGAATAACTATAAAGGACACATGGACAAAACCAAGAGGGTTGGGATCAGGGAAGGGAGGTGGGGATGGCTAGGGTTTGGGGGAGTTGTGGAGGGAAACGGCAAACAACTGTACTTGAACAACAATAAATAAAAAAAAAACCCAGATGGAAACTAGAAAAAAAAACTAGCATACATTTACACAATGGAATACTACACAGCAGAGAGAAAGAAGTAGCTCCTACCCTTTGCAACAGCATGGATAGCACTGGTAAGCATTATGCTAAGTGAAATAAGCCAAGGGCAGTGAGGGACAAATACCATATGATTTTGCCCTTAAGTGGAACCCAATAAACAAAAGAAAAAAGCAAGCAAAATATACCCAGAGACATTGAAATTAAGAACAATCTGACAGTAACCAGAAGGGAGGTGGTAGGAGACAATGGAGGGAAGAGTTTTCAGGAACAACTATAAAGGACAAATGGAGATAACTAAGGAGGGTGGTGGAAGCAAGGGAGGGAGATGGGTTTGGCTGAGATGGGGGAGAGTGGTAGGGGGTAAATGCAGACAACTGTAATTGGACAATAATAAAATAATTTAAAAAATAAAAATCAATTTTAAAAGTTCTTTAAAGGGGTAAATTGTTTGATATATTTATTTGAATACTTTAAAAATATAGTAAATAGTCAATTTTAAGTTTGACCCAACTTGTACAATAGGCCAGAGCTTGCTCTATATAGAATGGAATGATGCCCTTCAACTTCAATGTGCAAAATAATGAGTGTGATCATGTTAAAATGCAGATTCTGATTCAGTAGTTCCAGGTGGTACTCAAGATTCTGTAATTCTAACAAGATTCTGGGGGGACAGATGCTGCCAGTTCTCAACTAGCACATTGGGTGGCAAACTGTAGAGACCTAAGTTGGGCCTGCCTGAAGATTTTTTTTTCCACATTTGGGGCTTATACAGCTAAAGGAGAGGTTACTCATATTACATAACTACTGGCTTCTGTCCTTCCTTCCTCCCTTCCTTCCTTCCTTCCTTCCTTCCTTCCTTCCTTCCTTCCTTCCTTCCTACCTTCCTTCCTTCCTCTTCCTTCTTTCCTCCCTTCCTCCTTTCTTTCCTTCCTTCCTTTCTCTTTTTCTTTCTCTCTCTCTTTTTCTTTCTTCCTTTCTTTTTTTTTCTTTTGAAATCCTACAAAGAAACACAGTCTAATGAGAAAGAATTCAGAGGACTTTTTTATTGTATCCTTAATATGTAGATGTATATCTAAAAGTTGAGCATTGTTAAGGCAAGGAAATTTCTAGTCTGAATCTGGGACTATGCTGAAAGGACAGTAAGCATGTGTGTTGAGCTACTTCTAATACCTATATTGGAATGTACATGTGCATGTTCTTCAACTGAGAATTTTGTCCATATACAGTATTAATGGTATGAGTGTTCTTGTTATATATCTTTTAAATCTGTATGGGATATTCTAAACACTTTCTTCTTTGGGGTTCTTGCTTGTTGGTTTGTTTGTTTTCTTGAATGAGTAGCAATGGACTTGGAAGAGTACACCTGTATTTTACAGATAATTTTCCTTGTAGACTAGGTTTACCTGAGTTTCAGGATTTTTGCTGGCCATGATATGTTTCTGTAGAACTGAAGTGGTTACAACTCCTGCAGAGTCTTCTTTATTGGAAAAAAATACTTTATAAAGATAAAAATAATCAGTTTCTGCTTTACTTTGGCTGGCTTCTCTGATAGAACTTTTTAAAAAAATTGGCAGGTTAGGTAGGGCTGGAATATCATCTCACTCTCTTAACAATGGTGCATATTGGCTGAATAGTACACCTGAAACAACAAGGGACTGGGTGGTTACCTGTTTTTCAGGTGTTATTTTTCTTGTTTCACCTGTTTCCTTCTCCTGCAGGTGGTATGGATTCCATGAGGCAAGTGTAATCCTGACATCCAGCCTTACAGCCACAGCTTGACACCCAGTTGGGCAGGAAGGGCACCATGGATGGCTTAATTGAACAGAAGAGTGTGCTGCTGCACAATAAAATCAATGATGCTGGCAAGCAGAATGGCTTAATTCACACCAGAAACTTCATGGCTGAGAGCAGAGATGGCCTGGTATCTGTTTACCCAGCACCCCAGTACCCAAACTGTCGGGTGGTAGGCAGTGCAGCAGTGGCCACCCTGGAGAGCAGCAGGGATGAGCCAGTCCAGCACCTTCTGGACCCCAACACCCTTCAGCAGTCAGTGGAGTCCCACTACCATCCAAACATCATCCTCTACTCCGAGGGCATGCTGTGCTCCTGGGGAGATGGTGTGGCTGCCGACTGTTGTGAGACCACATTCATTGAGGATCGGTCCCCTACCAAAGAGAGGCTGGAGTACCCTGATGGAAACTTCATTGACCTCTCAGCTGATGACATCAAAATTCACACCCTGTCCTATGATGTGGAGGAGGAAGAGGAATTCCAAGAGCTGGAGGTCAGAGGATGTGTTTGTGATAGGCCTTCGGGAATAGGATGTGGAAATTTGGTGGGAACTCACAAGTACCTGGCAAAAATTAGAGAATAAAACTAGTGTGAAAAAATTAAGAGAAAGTGAAGCATCCCTGGTGCCCCTTAACTCTTTCCTATTTGTAGAAGATGAGAGGAGTAGAGAGAAACTAAAGGACAAAGACCCAGTTAGGGCTTCAGGAGGGATTATGATCAGAAATCACCTAAGCTACTAGCTGTTGGGATGCAGCTACAAATGGATTTAAAAGTTGTTTGCACTAACAAATCACTTAGGGACTCCTGCTTACACCCCCCCAACAGGAAAGATGGGTCATTGGCAAGAGTGAGCAAGATTAGAGAGGGCCATGTGGGCAATACAAGCTAGAAATGCATGTGAGGTAACAATTTGGGAAGTAGTTTTGCTGCCACATATGTGTGGTTTCCTTTGCTATCATATGTGTGGCATGGCAGTTTCTACTAAGATATAATTGGTATAGATAAAATCTGCTGGAAGTAGTAGAATCGCTAACCTAAAGGGAAATTGAGTTGAATTATTGCAGGAGTCACTCTTTCAGTAAACTGCAGAGTAGGTAACAATGTTCAGATCACATTTTTAGAAACATGCACATTGATAGTGTAACATGCACAACAGCCTCCTATTGTACAGCTCACCTCTTCCTCTTTGATGCAGCTCCCCAGTTGGGAGGGCAAGAGTGAGCTGTACACGTCTGAACAAAAGCCATACTTTTGTCAACTAGGAGGTAGGTGCCCAAGCTTGAGGAAGTAATTTCACTCCTTGAAGGTAGAAAATACTCCTCCAGGACATGAGTGGCAGGGAGAGAAGAGCTAGATTTTCTGGGGGAAGCTAGAGAAAGAAAGAAGGAGGAGCTTTGGAGTAGAATCATACACCCATTGGGCCCCAGACTGTGTAGAAGGCCACTGAAATCATAAGGAAATGATGAGCCAAGGAGACCAGATGTGCCAGGATTGGAAGTACAGTGAAAACCAGGAGCAGCTGGAGAGAGATGTTTTAGTCAAAAGAGAAATTCAGAAATGGAAAAATAAAAGTAATGTAACAATCCCTATGAATGGATCTGAAAACCAACTGACAGGGAGCAGAGAGAAGTTACTTCAGTGGGAGAGGCTATCCAAGGAGACCTTCATATCATCTGATAATACCTGTTAAGCAGAAGAGAAGGATGTGAGTTTTGGCAATGCTAGAGTTTTTAGAAAGTTGGAAGAGTGCTTTGGTTTTCATTCAAAAGCCTATGTTGTGTCCACTGTTTTCCAAGGTCTGAGGCTTTTGCTGAAAGCAAAATTATAAATGCTGCTTACATGCATAAAATTTCAGCATAACACAGGAGTTATGATTATAGACTACCCAGTAAGCTCTGAGAGCATCTAAAGAAGGAGATGGGGCTCTTGCACTGCATCTTGAGTAGTTCTGTAAAACTCCTTTAGGAATTTTTTAAAAATAAAGGTATTTTCACAGCAACATTCTTATGGGATAGCTAAGACACTCTATTCTGTTTCTGCAAAGGGAAAAAAACTAATAACTGGTTAGAAGTGTTATCATATATTCAGTGACTATTCTAAGGCTTATTCTTTTTTTAATTCCATGAAATCATAAAGAGGCAGGCATAAATAGCATTTACTGCACCCAAAACTTAAAGGCTTAAAACAGTAACTACTGACTTATCTCATGATTCTCGGTGAAAAATTTGAGTGATTCTCAGCTGAACAGATGTTGCTATGCTGGTTTTATTTGGGTCCCCTCATTGTTCTGTGTTAGCTGCTACTTGTGTAGACAGCTGTGCTTTGGAATGTTGGCTGGCCATTGGCTGGTGTTACATAGGTGACTGGACCACATGTCTGTCATCAACTAGCAGGCCACTTCATCACATGGAAACCACGGTAGGGATTCCAAGAGCAGCAAGAGGTGTGAGTCCCAGTATTCAAGGGCTTTTCAAGTCTTTGCTTGTGCCACACATGTTATTTTCTTATTGGTAAAAGCAAGGTAAATGGCTAAGCTCAAAGTCTGTGGGAAGGACTATTCAGGGTGACAGTATAGAAAAATGCCAACAAGTTGGGTGTCAATACTACAGCATTCTACCACAAGACAAAATTTGGACTACTAGGCATAATTTTTTAGATCATCTAATTGGACAGTGACAACACCCATGTTTATATTGTGACTGAAACAAAAACACACACCACCGACTGATACCACATACCACTTCTGGAGCTCTTCTCAGAAGGCAGTGCTACTTCAGACAAATGAAAACAAAAATGATTTTAACTTCTTGGGTAATTCTATAACTTCACGTGGTTTATAGTAAATTGAAAACAACTGTTTTTAGAAAGCCATTGTCCTGGTTAAGAGCAGGAGCCCTTGTTGCTAGAGTTCCTGTTTACTGGGAAAACTGTCTCTTATCTGTCCCTTTATCACTCTACATGAAGAGGTTTACCTCTGTCATTTATAATGGAGGCTTCCCTGATCCAGAGAGCTTTGCTCACCTTATACATATTTTTGGAAGAGCATACAGACTTTTCAGTTTGCCTTCTACTTCGCGGTATTAATGTGATTGGGTTCTGTAGCTAAATTCAAAACTTTTTATGGAAAGGCCTCAGAAATTACAATTTGCCTTGTCCTCCCTAAGAGAATGAGCTGTTAGTTACAGTGAAATTAGCTGTTAGTTGTGATTTGTATCATATGGAGGGACATCACAGGGGCCCACTGAGGGATTCACAGAAATGTAGAGTTCATCACTCAATACCCTGTACTCAATATGACTAAAGAGGTCTCCCTCCTAGGATTCCTGCAGGACAATCTTGCTGCATAATAAATTGGGCCTGGTACCCCATAGCTCCAGGGCCTTCTCCCAGGTTTTTGCCCACTATATCATCCAGTTCCCAGCTGGAAGCTAAAACTGCAGCTCCCAGGAACACCAACTGCAAGAAACCACTTCTCTTTTTTATACAAATAAACTCAGAGATTGCAGGCACAAGTAATAAAGTAGTTCTTTGGAATATAAAATTTGAGTTTAAAGTTATGAAATGAAATGGTTCAAGTTCAGGCTGGAGAGACTCTAATAGTCCTCCTGTTATTAGAGATGCTTATTATATGTTGAAAGGCCAATTATTATTCATTTATTTGTGACAATGCAAAACTTTTAGGGACTTAGAGCACATAGAAGTCATCACTTAAAAATAATGCCAAAGAAGGCTGAGCCCTTTTTTCACCAAACGAAGAAAGGAGAAGGCAAACATGTTTATGGAACATTTATTCTCTGACAGACCCTTAATGCACATTCTGCCATCTAATTCTCACATCAAGACAGGCCGCCGGTACTGTTACTGTCCCACTTTGCACATGAGGAAACTGAAGCTTGGGAGATGTCCAAGATTGGCTTTGCTGACAGCTCTTCAATATCAGACATGCTGATTTCAGACATATCTTCTAACACCAATGCTATGCTTTCTACATTCAAAAAAAATGGGCTAGAGTAAGCTGCTATTTCAGAACTTGCAAATAAAGCATGAGGAGACAGAGCTGAGGTAGTCACAGGACACTTCACTTCTGTGAATCCTCTGCTATTGCTACCCAAGATCTTTGAGTCTGCCCTCCCATTTAAAATCTTGAAATCTGTTGGGATAGGATTTGACAAATTCAATGTCACACTTACATGTGCCTCATTCATAAATATGAACAAAGGTGGGGAGGACTCAACAGACATTTAAAGAGAACCCAAATGCTTGAGTGAAATAGAACACCACCAAAAATAAAGCAACTGACCCAGAAGAAAAAAATAATAATTCAGTCAACAATAAAGAACTCTTTGAAAAATGTTAATATCCCTTCAGAATTTGGGAGAGTTAATTTGGGGGGTTGTTTTGTTTTGTTTGCTGCATTGCACTAGCTGGAACCTCTGATACAATGTTGAAGAGAGTGGTGAAAGAAACATTTTTGCCTTGCTCCAGATCTCAGGGGTAAAGCATTCAGATTTTCATGATATAGGATAGTATCACTAATGTTCATAATCAGTTAAAGCAAATTCCCATTTATCAGAACTTTGTTGAATATTTTTATTTTTAAAATTATTTTATTGTTGTTCAAGTAGAGTTGTCTGTATTTTCTCCCAACCCCTCCCTCACAAACCCCTCCAAACCTCCCTCCCTCCCTTGCTTCCACCCTTCCCTTTGGTTTTGTCCTTGTGCCCTTTAGAGTTGTTCCTGAAAACTCTTCTCCCCTCTGTCCCCTCCCTGCTCCCCTCTGGATATTGCTAGATTGTTCTTAGTTTCAATGACTCTGGTTATATTTCGTTTGCTTTTTTCTTTTGTTGATTATGTACTAGTTAAAGACGAGATCATATGATACTCATCCCTCACTGTCTGGCTTATTTCACTTAGCATAATGCTCTCCAGTTCCATCCATGCTGTTACAAAGGGTAGGAGTTCCTTCTTTCTTTCTGCTGCATATAATTCCATTGTGTAAATGTACGATAGTTTTGTGATCCACTCATTTGCTGATGGGCTATTGTAAATTGTGCTGCTATGAACATTCAGTGCATAGGTTCTTTTGCATTGGTGTTTCAGGGCTCTTAGGGTATAATCCCAGCAACAGAATTGCTGGATCAAAACGCAGTTCTATTTTTAGTTTTCTGAGGAAACTTCATACTATTTTCCACAATGGCTGCACCAGTCTGCATCCCACCAACAGTGCACTAGGGTTCCCTTTTCTCCACATCCTCTCCAACACTTGTTTGTTGATTTGTTTATGTTGGCCATTCTGACTGGTGTGAGGTGGTATCCCATTGTGGTTTTAACCATTTCTTATGGCTAGTGATGCTGAATATCTTTTCATGTGTCTCTGGGCCCTCTGTATTCTTCATGATTTGACATTTTCTTTCCTTCATAGCTTTTTAATATTCATTTCTAGTCAAGCAAGTTTGTACATATTAAGTCACTACATTTTATACTATACTGTAT